GGGGGTTACAAATAATTTTGAACTTATGATGAAATTTCTGTAGGCGGATATCTAATTTCTTAATGTTTCTTTCTTTCTAGTTCATATGGTTTGATTAAATTGTATTAACTGAAATGACATTTTTTTTACAAGCTAGTTAAAAAAAGCCACGTATAGTACAGGTTTCTTTAAAATAATAATGAAAGTTGAAGATCGGAAAAAGTACTAATATTAAATTGGTGTGGGTGGGGGTTGGAGGAAAATGTGAGAAAAGTGGTATTTGGGTTTTGTGTTTTAAAAAACGTCCCCAAAAGTGTGAGATTATATTTGAACAGCGCCATAGGTTTTCCATTTCCTCCTCTTCACCATCATTCTATTCTCTTCTTCATCTTCCTTCTCCCTTCCTCCACCACCACCTCTTCCTTCTTCTCCCCACCATCATCATCACCACCACCATCACCTCCTCGTCACTATCATTACTATCATCACTGCCAGCATCATCATCTCATTCACTGACATCACTACATGTACCACACCCACAAGAAGAGCGGCCATTTTGGAGTTAACACTTTTCGCCTTGGGGATGCCGTTAAAATGTTCCTCCTTCCTTTGCACTGAGCAGATTTTTGATAGAGGTGTAAAAATTTTTATTTTTTTTCACAATGATTAATCTATTAATTATTGTGATGCAATTTCAGGGTACAGGAACACATATTTTTTTACATTCAAATATCAAAATTGTGCCCAGTACGATTGACCATAGCATCTGTATCTAGATCTACCATTCCACCAATTTTCATGCAATTTTGTTAGAGAGTAAGAAGCCTTCGGTTTTTAAAAATTATTGTTTGTTTTGGATGTTGGTGCTGTTTCCATTCCATGGCAACTTTAATATTTTCGGACTTATCAAAATTTACTTTCTCCATTATTTCTTATGCCTGTATAATTTTTTTCCCTAAATATATGAATCGGAAAAAGAATCACCCTTGGGGTGAGCTGTTCCCCGTAAAAATGGACAGTAATAATATGAGCACATCAGAAAACAAAACACAAAAACTTAAAAAATGCGATCTATTTTATTATTTGAAAGAATCCCACAACAACAAGGTCCAAGTAAAGAACATAAAAACATTGAATTGTTTAAGTCCAGAATAAAGACTATAATTATGAAAATACTTATAATAGAGGACATGTAAATGTAATTATAGTGCCTTACTTTCGGTTTTAACCAGCTCAAAGTATGTTTACATTAGTTTTTAGTCATTTCATAAAGGTAGATCTAGATCTAGTATAAAATAACAAATAAGGTAGTAGCCAAGGGCTTACAAGCCAAGACGGAATTTATAAGACTGAAAACAGAAAAACGTGTTCTACGTCATCAGTTTGTGACCGCCGTAAAAATAGCCCTAGGCTATCTTTACGGCTCGCTGTAAAAATAGCGTGGGAGGCTATCTTTACGCTCGCCGTAAAAATAGCCACTGCGTAAAAAAAAAGGCTATAGTTATTCGCACAGGGTGTGTCAATACTGTGTGAATATGGTGAAATTTTACTCTAAAAGGGTGTGTGAATACTATGTGAATACTAGAAATGTTATTCACACAGGGTGTGTGAATACTATGAAATTATTATATTCGCACAGGGTGTGTGAATACTACAAAATATTATTGGCACAGGGCGTTTCAAAAGAAGGCTGGAAATTATCTAGATCTAGATAATTTCCTAATTTTTTCCTTTTTCATCCTCTTTCGCGTAGGGACAAAGATCATGGGATAGAAAAGTATAGACTACTGACCTACTTGTAGAAAAGCTCCTCTCTTGAGGACAAAACCAGAATGTGTATGCTTCACCCCTATCTAGAATCTAGATCTAGATAGATAGATATAGAATCTAGATCTACATTTTAAAAAGTACTAGATTTAAGTAACAAGTTATAATTTATGGGAAAAAATTGTCGGTCAGTCGTGAAGAGGGGAAAAAAAAAACTTCCAAGACCGGGATTCGTACCCATGCTCATAAATTATGGTTTGACTTATGCAGACGCGCTGCCCATTCGGCCATCAGAACTACACACGTATTTAACACACAGCGTTTTATTTAGACATCTAGATTTAGATCTAGATATAGATCTAGCACTGTCGCTAATGGCCACCTCTATTCTCACCCGGAGCGCGTTCACCAAATTTTGCGTTCACCCTAAACCACAGAATTCTACACTGTGATAACAGAAAAATTGTAGAATTCTGTGCCGTGAACAAACGTTCCATTACAATTGTAGCCTACTAAAAGCGTACAATTTTGTCTGTGGGCAGTGGAGAGAGAAAGAGAGAGAGGAGTAGCGCGAGAATTTCCGGGCAAAACAAAATGGCGACCCGCGTAGTTCGGCTCAATTCGAAAAGTTAAATAGCCGTAGCATCTTTGTAGACAACCAAATTTATTTACTTTTGTGTTTTAACATCATTTTTTAACTTTGTTTTGGTCAATTTGATCGTCCACACCGATAGACAGTATTCAGAAAGAGACAGAGAGAGAGAAGAGGGGAGGAGTTGATCTTGCGAGAACTTCCGGGCGGGTGAGAATAGCCACTTTCGTCACTAATCGCAACGCAGCGTTGCAAATAATAGTAAATAGGCACTTCGACTGACTTCTTTGTAAGATGAGGTCTAGATTCTAGATCTAGATCTATATATAATCTTTTTTAGAATTTCTTATAGGTTTATTTGGCAAACATAATTGGGGGGTTTGTAATACTTTAGTCTTAGATCTAGTAGATTTGATTAGTAAAGTTTCGACAGTCCGAAGAGTGAATTCTGTAATTCTGATTCTAGAGTCTAGACGGTCTAGATACGCTATGTTCACTCACCTGCACCTTCAACACCACACGTAACGTTGAAAGACAAAATTACTAATATTGCCAATTGCTTCTCAAATGTTTCCACAGTCACAGTGATTCATTAACAAGTGATGTTTACACTCCACTGTTTCTATTTCTGGCTAGCCATTGAGTCGTACTCCGTACTTCCGGGTATATTTTCAGCTGATCGAACAGTAACGTCCGATGACGTCATCGCATCGAATTTTATCTGATTATTATCATTATCATTTTGCTAATCATGCATCGAGTAGGTATAGACCCTTTCATTACTTTCAATCGTTCAGTTGCAGATTCAAAAGCAGTGAAATGTTACCAGAGTTATCTGTCAACAAGAACAACAGTAGCAAGGACACCAGCTCTGTCGGGCCCTGGCCGGTCTTGTAGTGAAACGTAACTTTTCTAGACAGGTGTATAGTGTATGCAAGCCACTACTTGGCCAAGGCCACAGCCAGAGACAGAAAACTACAATTAAAATACGTGTTGTCAGAAGTTTACTTTCTTTGACTAGGGCTCTCTGAATAAGAAACACAGCAATAGTTCGTACTCATACACCCCCCCCCAATTATTATTATTATTATTATAGCCCAAGTAGACCTATTCAGTGTGAGAGGTGTAAGAACTGTGGGAGGGCAAGATGCAGTGATACTGAAAAATCTGCGAATCTTGAACAGAAAGATAAAATATGGAGATCTAATTTACTGTCACCAATCCAATAAAACGCGAACACATAGGCCCCTAAGTTCCATAACACGCTTACAAGTTATGACGGTTCCCGATTTCGCACAAGGCCTGCACCAACGCACACTTTACTTTGCAGAAAGCTGCAGATCTAGTAGTAATCAAAATTCTAAACATTAAATATTACAATTGCATTCAGTTTTAGTTTGTTTGTCCTCTGGCGTTGCGTCCAGCCCTCCCCCTATCCCCGAGTGCGTCTTTTTTTTTTTAATCAATAATCTCCCCCTGTTCCTGAGTCCTGTACTAGGAAGCGCTCAGAACGGTTTCGGGTTCATTGACCGGTCGCAATAGCGAGCCCGACAAGACGCTTGTATAACTTTCTTTTCGGTTTTATTTCTTTTTTTTTGTGTGTTACCCCCACAAGTGACAGCACAGTGACAAACAGTGGCGTGGCTCTCCAAGCGCAAATGGCACCATGGCGCCACCCTTTGAAAAGGAGAAAGGATTTTCGAAAATAAGGGAATACGATGCTCCAAAACTTAACAAAATATCACAATATTTTTTTTTCAAACCAATCTCTTATTCCTAAGTACTCCAGTCTTTAGTTAAGGTGTCTATTATTAGGCTAGTGGGAGGAGGGCGGGTAATACGGGGTGCCCACTGATGCCCACTACGGATAGGATCGGCTGATCGGCTCGATCGCCTCAAAAACAAACGTGTTGTTTTCAGTTTCAGG